TCTGGGACCACTCCTCTGCCTGTGCAGCAGAGCAGGAGCTGGCCACTACGTGTCCCCAGCACAGCTTCTGTCTCTTCTAATGTCACGCAGAAGAAGGTTCAGAGCTCAGGGCCCCAACGGAGCTCCTGGGGTGCCTGGGATGGGTGTATGCCTGTGGGTGCTGAGCTCCCAGGATGGCTGCAGACAGGGTGAGCTTTAAGATTGCTTTAAGCATCTCCCATGGGGTGCTGATTGGTTCCTGCACCCCAGGAAGAGCCTTCAGTGCTTTCCCCCTTCCTGTCCTCCCTGGCTGTGAGTCTGATCATCCTGAAAATTAAAAAGAAACCCGAACACAGCAGCACTTGAAGAGACTGAGTGGGGACAGGCATTGAGTTCCTGCTGCAGAGCCCCTAGCTCCCACTTCTGCCGTGTGTGCCCCCAGTGTGGGCACGCTGTCAGGCAATTCCTGTCCCACCCAGCAGCTCTCTCTGCCCCCAAAAGTAAAAGGAAGAAAAAGCCGTGCTGAGTCACAAGGCAGCTCTTCCCACCCTGCTCCCTACCCCATGGGGGGGATGCCTCACCCCCTGTGCCTGTCCTACAGGGGGCAGAGGGGTGCAGAGGGGCCATTTGGGCTCCAAACGGTGGCACTTTATACCATGAGCAAATATTTGCTAATGGCAGCACGGCCGGGAGAACGTAGCGGAGCTGCTCCCCCCACCGGGGCAGGCAGGGAAATGAATATGAATTTATCATGATTAGGTGAACCCAGCAGGGAGAGCGGGAGAGAGAGGGCCAGGCAGGGAGGGGGCGGGCGAAGATGGATCTGTGCAATAAAATTAAATAAGGACACCAAATAGAGTCGCTGCTCGCGCGCCTGCCCGCCCGCGTGCTGGGCCTCTCCCGCCCTCCCTCGCTCCTCCGGCTTTGCTGATTTCTCTCTTTCCTCAAATTTATGAGGCCAATTATGAAGATGAGGTTGGAAGTTCTCAGAAGTTCACTAAATGCAAAGTGCGGTCCCTGCTGTTCCCATCAAATTAATTAACCGAGCGCTATTGATGGCCGGGCGACGTCGGTGCGGCGTGGAGCGAGAGGGAATGGCTGCTGGGGTGCAGCTGGGGGGGGACGGGGGACCCTGTGAGGTGTCCCAGGGCAGCAGCCGTGTGCCTGGTGCACCCCTGCCCATAGGGGCGGTTCCTGGGGGTCCTACACAGCCCCTATGTCTGCTGTGTCCCCATAGCAGTGAGATGCACGCTCTATGGGCGACCTGCTGGGATGCTTGTAGGTGGGAGATGCAGAGCCCCAGGCTGAGCTCAGCCACCACCCAGCCAGCCCTCCCCTCACTCATTTTTGGGGGAAAACAAACCCAAAGCAATTATGTTGCTCAGAGACGCCTCACCCCTGTGCTGTGCTGCAGCCAGTGCTTGAGGCTGGCAGAGGACGGTCCCAAGCCCTTTCAGAAGGCCTGGTCCTGAGGCCCTGGATCAAGCCCAGAAGGTCTCCATTTTCTGCTCTGCCGCTCTGTGCCTCAGTTTCCCCCCTCCTTGCATTTCTTGGGGCTGTTTGCTCCATGCATTGCCAAACCAGCATCCCAGTTTCCAGGGAGCGCAAAGACACAGAGAGATGCCCCCCAGAACAGCCTGATTTGGCACCAAATATTTGTGCCATGGATTGCCTGCACTATCCAGGCATGAGAACCTTCACCCCGCAGCGCCACGAGGTCTGAGACCACGCAGCCCCCCATCCCAGGGCTGTAGGGCCGGCTCTCCTGCTGCCCCGTCATCAGTGAGCTCTGCTTGGGCCACACGGCGGCACAAACAGCCGCGTTTACAGAGGCGTTTCTCTCCAGCAGAGCCATAACTCAGCTCCTGTCACCACGGGAAAGGGGAGGCAGGCTCTCCAGTCTCCTCGGATGGGAGACGTGTTACTTGCCGATAATTTACCTGCTCGTGTCAAATCGAAAAAAGAAACAGCCCGGCAGCTCCTGGGCTGCTGACGCTGGGCTCAGAGAGGGAAAAAATCAATCCCAAACGCGGGAAGGAGCGGTTTGAGAGCAGCCGGCTTTGGGGCCGGGCTCCCTGCCGGCTGGTGCTGTAGGGCTGAGCTCGCAGCCTCGTCCTGCCCCACAACCGGCCCCAGCCACGGCCCAGAGCTGCGCAGGTGGGGTGGGAGGGGGAGATGATGAGGAACCTCGTCGGGAAAGGAGGCGGAAATCAGGGAGAGGTGAGGGGACAGGCAGCAGAGGGAGCTGGAGGACCGGGTAAGGGCAGCGCGGGGATGCCCGAGGTGGAGGCGGCCCGGCTCCGTGCAGCTCCTTGTCGCGGGGATGGGATGCCGGGGTAGGAGGTGGGTTGAGATGGCGCAGTGACCCCAAGCCAGGGGCGGGCTCAGCCCGTGCCTGCAGCCCGGCTCCTGCACCAATCCCTGTCACCTCCTCCAGGTTTACACGCAGCGAGGTCCTGAGCCGGCAGCACTGAGCCTGGAAGGACGCTCATCCCAGCAAGGGGATTTGGATGGCTCTGTGACCATCAGCAGCAGAGCAGTGAGCCATCAGGGAGCGGGAGGACCTGGTGCAGGTACGGCAGAACCTGAAATTGTCCCCCTGCTCTGCTCCCTCTGCCTCCTGCTGAGCCCCGGGGTGCAGAACTCACCAATTGTTCCTGCAGTCAGCACAGTTTGCCTTCCCATTTGGCAGGCCAGGCCGTGGGTCTGAGCTCTGGGGACACCAATCCCAGCTGCAACCCCCGGCCCCACCTGCCTCCCTCCCAGCTCCCTCCCTCTACCCTTGCCATTCCCAGCAGCAGGAGCCAATTCATGGCCATGGGTGCCATGCTGGGACAGTACAGCCCCTGGAGCTTGGGTGGTCGAAGGCACTTGCTGCTCCCAGGAAGCAATGCCCACAGCAGGAAGGTCTCACTCTTGCTGCTGTGCCAGGTACTGCAGTGGTCTTTGTGGTGCCTCCAGGCTTCTGCTGCTGTGGTCTCTGCCATTCCGGATGGGCACTTGTTATGCTTTTCAACAGATAGCATTTTTCTACTCCCCATTTCCCATGCTCTGCAAAGCTGCAGCAGCTCACCCTGCTCCTAAGGTTGTACCATTGGGACACACCAAGAGATCGCCATTGAAACACCCAAAGGAGGCACCACTGGGACACCTCAAGGGTTCCTATGGGAACACCATTGGGACACCCCAAGGATCCGTCAAGGGGACACCCCAAGGGGATGCTCCAAGGAGACACCATTGAGACATCTCAAGAGGACATTATGGGGACGCTCCAAGGAGACGCCACCGGGACACTCTGATGGCCAGCACCCACAGCCACTGGGGGATTTGGGTCTGGGGGGCCCCTCTTGCTCATTCTCCGTTTTCTGCCTTAATTAGAACCCGGAGAGACCGGGCGAAATCGCATTAGCGCGGGGCCCCGGTGCGCGGAGCCATCCATCTTTTTTTATTACAGCGTAATGGGGCTGCTCGCGAGGCGCCGTGCGATTTGTCACAGGCCTCGTTCCCTGATAACGGGCATTTGTCATCACTTTCTTCCCGTGTTAATGTCATCATCGGCGGGCTGACAGGCGGACCCGCGCAGGGAGCGCTGGCGACAGACCACATCCGTCAACCTAATATTTCCGTGGCTGTGGGGATCGGCCGGGCTGAGCGCACGCATTAAGGCGCTTATGGGGGAGAGAGAGGGAAAGGAAAAAAAAACTAAAAAAAAAAAAGCTAAAAAAAAGAAAAATAGAAGAAAAAAAAAGGAAAAAAAAAAAAAAAAAAGAGCCATTGTCATTCATTAAAATGTTGGCACGAGCGAGTCACTGCAGGGGACACAGCCGTGGCTTTCTGCTGGAGGACGCAGCATCTCCTGGATCGCATCTGGGGCAGCAAAAGGTCTTTGGTAAGAGGGGAGGAGATAAGTGGGATGGTTCCCCCCCATGTCCCACCCCAAGGGTTTGTGCCAGGGCTCATTGGAGGCGTTGGTGGGATGAAGTGAGCAGCCTCAGCCCCATGGGGTGGTGGGAGGAAGGGGAAACCCCCAGTCCTCCACCAGGGACCTGACCCCGGCCTGCTGCTGATGATAATTTGTGGTTGGGGGCGCTCAGGGCTTCGCCCCCCAATATTTGGCTGTTTCCATGGAAACTGAGGGTGGGAATAGGGAGAAAGGTGCTTGGGATCATGGGTCTTCATGGGGGGGCTGTCATTTTCAGTTCTTTTCTACTCTTTGGGTAATAACGCAGAATAAGGATTTTTAATTTAATGTCTGTATTTCTAATACCTCTGCAGGGCATCTGGGGGCTTTCAGCAGGTGCTCCCAGCCAATTCTGCCCACTGCCTCCCCGGCTCTGCCCTGCACATCCCAGGACATCCCACCCATTCCCAGGTTGGGAGTTTGGGGTTTTCCCCAACAGCCGATGGGGAAACTGAGGCACACAATGCCGCACCCCCAATGCGCTCCCACCATAAATCGCTGCCCTCTGCGGGCCGACCGCCTTTTGGGAAGGATTTGTTGGGGGTGGGGGGATGGGAGGAGTGGGACATGGCTTGTGTGCGGCGGCAGCGATGCGCTCCCATAAATCGAGAGGCAATAGCAGCAGTGGGGGGGGCACGGAGCACCCCTGCCGCCCCATCCCTGCACTCTGCAGAATCTCCTGCTCTGCACAGAGCGCAGCGTGGAAAATCCCCCGGCGGGGAGTGCGGACGCGTGTTCTTTGTAAATGAAGAACATAATTAACATTAAATTAAGGTAATACAAATGAAGACAACACAGCGCCTGACAGGATGAGTGTTTGGGGAGGCAGTAGAGAGAAGTGATTCATATTTTTAATTTACTGTACAAATAGACTAGCAGGGCTGGGGGGGGGGGGGGGAAAGGGCCATCCGAGTGCAGTGGGGATTTCTTTTTTTTTTTTCCTTCTTTTTTTTTTTTTTTTCTTTTTCTTTTTCCCACTGTTGTTTTGCTGTGCTTTAAGCACACAATGACTATTAAAGTCAACTGCCCATATAATAGGACATCTCCTACATGAGCGCTCTCCGAGAGGCAGCTTGCTGCAGCCATAAATCCCGGCAGTGCCATCTGCTGGCGCGCACCTCGCGCCCCGACCGCCCCGGCACCGACCCGCTCCGCCATACGGGATCCTTCCTTCTCTTTCTATAGGGAAGCACGCTTGTGCACGTATAGCTATTTTCTGAATAGCTCATCCTTCAAAGACGCGTTTTGGAGAGGTTGGGTTGGGGAGCGTTGGATCCCAGGAAACGTGCTGTGGTTTGGAATGGCACACATCTTCACTCTCCTCTCCACCCAGTGCTCCTTCCCTCAGCACTGGGCGCACCGTAGGAAGGCACCCCGGGCAGATCACCTCTGTCTTTGCTTCCACAGATCCTAGCAAGGCCGTGAGTACCCTCACGGCACCGAAGTCACTTCTCTGTAACACCTCTGATTTTTTCAAAGCCTTCCCCTCACCATCGCTGTGTCATCCCCTCATCCTCAGTGCCCTCTGAGTATGGCTGAATCCTTTTGGTGGGCTTGGGCAGTGCTGGAGCCCTGTACTTCTCCCAACCCCATGAGGGATTATTTAGAACTACCACATTGTTTGAGCTGAAGGAACTCTTAAATGCCACCTGGTCCCATTCTGCATTGAATGGGGGCACCTACAGCTTCGTCAGGTGCTCAGAGCCCATCCAGCCCGACCTTGGGTGTCTCCAGGGAAGTGAATGTCCCCACCCCTCCCCTCTCTGGGCGACCTGTGCCTCAGCCCCAGTTCACTGGGCAATTTTGGTGGTAGGAGGTTGTTTGGACTCAATGTTAGAGGTCTCTTCCAACCTTAATGATTCCACAACATGACAGCAGGGCTCGTGGGTCACACCGGCACGCAGGGGTCGAGGGGTCACTGCTTGCCACGGGGAGGGCACGGGGCATCTCCTAGGCTGCCCAGCACGCCGGGTGGGAGAGAGAAATAAATACCAGAATAAATAAATACCAGTGGCAAAGAGGCCTGAAATGATGCTGTCGTTTGCTGGGAATGAGAGACACAAGTGTAATTTAGGTTTTGATATTATGAAAGTCTCGCTGCTCTAAAACAGCAGGGCACTCAGTGCCTCATTAATAAAGGATAAACTTGGAGTCTATTTACAATGCACTTTTTGGGGTTATTTACACTCCATTATACATATGTAATGCTGCACATATTTACCGCTCTGTTCTGCTGCCGAGAGCAGCCGAGTCGGGAGGGGGACGTGGAGGATGCTATGGGGCCGTGATCTCTGCTTCCACGGTGTTGGACCAGGCAGTAGGGATCCATACGGACCAGTCGCTGTTCCCATGCGCATCGTCGGGCTGCGGGTTGGCAAGACGTCCAGCAACACCCACCGTTGTCCCTGCTCCCCTCTCAGCACTCGCTGGGGCTCAGGGCAGGCTGTGCTCTGAGCCCTCCAGGCTGCTCTCCGTGGCCCCGTATCCACGGAGCCTCAGCAGCCCCACATGGCACGGTGGGGCGAGGGGTTGGCGGGCAGCAAAGACACGGCTGATCTCCACGAAGGTCTTGTTCTTGGTCTCGGGGACGATGAGGTAGACATAGAGGGCCACCAGCAGGCAGACCCCACAGAAAACCAAGTAGGAAAAGGCACCGGTTGACATCTGGGGACAAGGAGAGGGAAGGGTTGGGGCGGCTGGTCTCGGCTCCTGGGGGAGCAGAGGGGTCAGGGCCATCCCAGAGCCCAACCCGAGGCCATTACCTGCAGGAACGGGAAGATGAAGCCAATGGTGAAATTGCAGAGCCAATTGAGAGAACCCCCCAGGACATAGGCAGCCGAGCGGTGGGACTGCGTGAAGAGCTCGGCTGTCATCAGGAAGGGGACGCCAGCTGCGGAGGGATGGTTGGGTCAGTGGCAGGGGACCAGGATGTCACGGCCCTTTGGGACAATGGGATGGGTACTGGACCGGGAAGCTTCAGTCCTGGTGCTGTGCCCGGGGTCCCAGTGCTGGGGATGCTCAAGTCATCCTCGTGAGAGGTGCTCCAAGGAAGGAAATGAACAAGCAAGCAAAAGTGATAATAACTCCAGGAGGAGTGCAGCCCCCAATGGACTCTTACTCACAGCTCGCCCAGAATAGAAATATGTATATTTTTGTTATAAAAGTCCTATTCATCATTGTTTGTGAACAATGAGCCATTAAAATCCTAATTAAAGATGTAATTACAGTGAATAAAGTCTGGGCTGAGGATGAATTATAGATCTGCTAACGGCTCTGCTAATACATCAACTGGGTAAAGCAGGGCAGGTTCTGTGCCTGAGGTCTGGAGCACCCAGCTCTGTGCTGTCCCCTGTCCCCAGCCCCGGCCCCACAGCCCCCAGGCCCACCTGGCCCCATGCAGAACCCAGCGATGATGCCCACCACGCAGGCAACGGCGACGTAACGCATCCAGGGCAGGGCAGTCTGTGGTGGGACACGGGATGGTGGGACACCAGTACAGAAGAGAGATGGGTGGTCCGGAGCAAAGCAGAGCCAGCTCAGGGAGCACCCATCCCATCCACTGGAGGGTTGGACTTGGTGATCTCAGTGATCTTTTCCAACCTTAATGCTTCTACGCATTCTATGTCTGTGATTCATCCCTTCACCACCCAGCCCTCATTAAGGGTTGCCCGGGGTTGGAATCTCATTAAGGCACCCAAGGCCCATGGGATGGCAATGTCCCAGCCCTACCTGAAGCAGCAGACAGCCAGTGATGCCTGCCAGGCAAGTGCCCATGGCACAGAACCCAGTGATGATGAGGGGCCGCCGGCCCAGCTTCTCAATGGTGAAGCACTGCCAGGGGAGAGCAGAAAGCAAGGGGACAATGGGGATCCCACGGTGGTGATGAGGGTACACTGTGGGTCCAGGTCCAGCTGCAGGCATGGAGTGCTCCTGGTGGCACCTCTATGTCCTCATTCAGATATATGTCCTAAAATTGAGCCTTCTCACCCCATTCTTCCACCCCGTTTTCCTGCCACCCCCCTGCAGAGAGTGGCACAGATGGCATATGGGGTCTATCTGACCCAAGGCTCGATGGCGCTGGGTGCTGAGGTCTGTCTGTCCATCCCTCACTCACCCCAATCAGCCCCGCAACAACTTCAATGGCGCCGGTGCCCACAGTGGTGTATGGGATCTGGGATTTGGGGATCCCTGCGTTCTGGAAGATGGTGTTGGTGTAAAACCAGATCTGCCAAGGAGGGGACTCAATGTGAGCGGGGGCACAGAACTCTGTGTCCCAGCAGAACCAGGCTTCAGGACCAGGACTCACGGCATCGATCCCTGAGAGCTGCATGCCCACATTCACCACCGCCACCGAGAGGGTCTGCCAGCGCACTGAGCCGTCCCGCAGCAGCTGTTGGACAGAGACTGTCTGCACCGAGGAGAGGGACTGCTGCTCCTCCTTCATCTCCTCCAGCACCTCCTGCACATCAGGTGTCCCCAGGAACCGGCGCAGCGCTGTGGGTGAGGGTGGATGGGTGTTCATAAACACGGCATGGGGGGATCCACTGGGCCGTGCATCCCTGGGAGTCAGGGAGATGCCCTGACACCACAGTGATGGGCACCAGGGAAATGCTATGGGATAGTTGAGTGGGAGAGATGATTTGGGTTATACGGGGTATGGGGGCTGTCAGGGTAGTGTGGTAGGATGCATACACGCAGGTGGTTCCCCCCTAGGACAACCCTCACCCTCAGTTGCCCCACAGACATCATTCCTCTCTATCAGTAGGAACCGTGGGCTCTCTGGGAAGCAGTGCAGCAGCAGGAGCTGGAGGGAGGCAGGGATGGCCACCACCGCTAGGAACAGGGGCCAGTACCTGTCCTGGGGAGAGCAGAGATGGAGATGTGTCATGGGGAGGGCAGTGCAGGGCCTGTGGTAGGGGCACAAAAGGGACATTCCATTGGGGGGTAACCCTTGGGGAGGGCATCCCACTGGGGGACATCCCATTGGGCAGTACCCCATTGGGTGATACCCCATCCTGCTCACCTGGCCCAGCAGCTCAGGCAGCCCCAGCACCTGCGCGCAGAACACCCCCAGGCAGATGAAGATGCTGGGCAGGAGGCCCAGGAAACCCCGCAGGTTCTTGGGAGCGATTTCTCCCAGGTAGAGGGGCACCACGCTGAGACAGATACCTGACAGCATGGACAGCAGGGCCAGGCGGTAGGCAGCAAGGTGGCCACACAGACAACCCCCAGACCCTCTCAGGGTTAGGGTTAGGGTCTTCTCCACCCACCTGAGTGCAGCCCGGTGATGGCACGGCCGATGATCACCATCTCGGGGGCTGCCAGCTGTCGGCTGAAGGCCATGAGGCCACCGGCCAGGAGGACGAGCAGAGCGCTGCGTCCCAGCGTGCCGTGCCTATGGGGTACACACAGCAGTGGGGCAGCCCCTACGGCCCCATCTGCCCCGTGCCACCCCCTTACCTGCCATAGCGTGCCACCAGAGTCCCCACCAGCAAAGAGCCCCCCAGCCCGCCCAGGGCGAAGACGGAGACGGTCAGAGAGTAGAGGAGGGTGAGGGGCCCAGGGGGCAGCCCGTGCCCATAGCGCTGGGACCACGTGGCGTTGTAGAAGGCCTTTATGTGCTGTGGGGCAGAGAGATGGGCACTGACTGGAGAGCAGAAAGGCGGGGGGCCAACAGCATCACAGCCAGCCCTGGGGCAACAGCCTGAGGGAAGAGCCAGCACTTCACTGTTGGGCAGGAGTTGGGGTCCCACCGCCTCCACGGAGGGATGCAGATCCCGGTGGGGCTGTGCCATCCCTTACCGCCGCTGGCGAGTTCACCACAGCCAGGTTGTAGCCATAGAGCATGGAGGAGCCGAAGGATACCAGGAGGGTGACGGAGAGCAGGGGGCAGGTGAGGCGCTGGGGGAGAGGAGAGCAACAGAGCCCTGTTCCAAGCACATACCCCAGCCCCACAGAGCTCCCCAGTAGCCAAATCCCAGTCCTGGGAGTTTCCTCTCCCCCAGCCCCCCTTTCTGAGCCCAGTAGTCAGATCCATAGCACTCAGCAGCTCCCGGCTCACGCACACCAAATCCTCACTAATCCCAGTCGGAATCCCGAGCTGGGAACTGGGGGGGGGTTACACACCATGAGGGATGTGGGGAATGGGGATGGGGCAGCCCCCAACCCAGACCCCTGCCTACCCAACACTCACCCCACTGATGTCCCTGCTGGGCCGCGAGGTCCCCTTCTCGTCGGTCTGAGGATGAGGAGGAGGGGAGGAAGGCAGCCCCTGTGCCTGGCTCTTCTCTCCCATTTTCAGATGGAAGGAGGGAAGGGAAAGGAAAAGAAGGAAAGGCAGTCTGAGTATTGTCCCCTGGGCTCATTGGAGGCTTCAAAGTGGGTGGAGGAGGAGTCTGGAACCCTCCCTGCCTCAATGGGGCTCCTCAGGACTGGAAGCAGAGGGTTGAAGGGGATGTCCACATCTCCCAGCACCGCCATCAGCCCCCCACCATCACATCGGGCTGCGAGGCAGCTATGCCCTATCTGCAGTGATGAGGGTAGGAGGGCTGGTGACCCACGTGTCCTGATGAATGGGGGCATCTGCCCTTGTCGGGACCAGGGTGGCAGAGCCCCCAGCCCCAGGCTGCAGCCCCCAGCCCCAGAGAGTAGAGATGCAGCTCATGGCAGCTCAGAGGAATCCAATTTCGCTGCGGCCAGGAGCTGCCTCCCCTGCTGCTAATGAAGTGCCTTTAATTAGCAGTCTAATAGCAAGCTCTTAATTTGCTGAACAGCCAGTCAAAAGGATGGGGACCCCACTAAGCCAGGCTGGCAACAGCTCCAAAAGCTTAAAAGGGACAGGCCAGGCTGGCTGGCCCCACCGTGGGACAGGTCCCTCCACACGGGACTCCCTGTGTCCTGCAGTGACGTTCCGAGAGCCCCTCCATCTCTCTCTGCCTCAGTTTCCCCATGTCTTCATTGGGACATCGACCCGCATAGATATGTGGGACTTCAAGGGCTCTGTCCTCAGAGCAGAAGGACAAGGCTGCTGTCACGGGGCTGTCACTGGATTTAGGAGTAAATCTGGGTTACTGTCACTGGTCCCCAGCAGCTGCTGGAGCTTTGGTGGATGTGCAGGTGGGGACAACATGGTAGGAAGGGAGGGGGGTGAGGAGGAAGCCTGAGGTGTCAATTAAGGGCCACTGGGGAGCCAGGTTAATTGGAGACACTCCTGCGACCTGACCCAGCGATGGTGGCACTCGGTGCGATGGGGACAAGCGCTGGCAAGCAACCCCCACTGCTCCGTGCTGGGATGCAGCTCAGCACTGCGTCTTACAGGCAGCCCCGGTCCTCCCTGACTCCGTGTGCTTTGGGGGGAAAGCAGGAGCCAGACCCCAATCCATCCCATTCCCTCCCACTCTCACCCCTGCAGTGAGTGCTCGCAGTCACCTCCTATCTGGGTGCTCTCCCACTGCAGGAAGGCCACGTACCTGCACAGAGCCCTTCCAAGCCCAGGTTTTCCTCCTCCAAGCCCAGCAGCCCTGGCACAGCAGCCCCTCACCTCAGCAAACATCCCCAGCAGCCACGAGGCTCCCACCATTAATGTGCCCAGCAGGCCGACACCGACTGATTTCCCTCTTCCCCAAACACTCCTTGCTGAAGTGTGCGTATAAAATTGAAAGAAAAAACAAGAAAGAAACCACCACCAGAAAATTTCATTTTAAAGCCGTGGGTCGATCAAACGCTGTTAATTTGGAGATATGGCAAACATTACTTTCCTTCTCCATTTGAAGTGGAAATAAGGCACACATTTTTAAAAGGAAAGGGTAATTAAGCACTGAATCTATTTAAGATAAGCTGCCTGGCACTCACTCTGTTCCCACAGAAATTTACAATGAAGATTGCTTTTCTGTCTCAGATCCTGTGCTCCTGGATGTGAAGGCAGAATTGCTGGGAAGTTCTCCAGCTCTGATGGGTTGGAACTGGATGGTCTTTGGGGTTCCCTCCAGCCCCACTATCCTGTGACTCTCCCATCTTTGGGGTCCCTTCCAGCCCAACCATTCTGTGATTTTCTCACCTCTGGGGTCCCTTCCAACTCGATCACTCTGTGATTCGATGACCCTTGTCTTTGGGCATCGATGGGAAGGAGAGGAAGGGTTGGCTAGGGATAGAGCAGGATAGGAACAGCAGAGGATAAAGCAGCACAAATCGACGACGTATGTATTAAAAATCCAACCCTCTCCAAACAAAGCACGCGGCTGCTGGGAATGCTGTCACAAGGAGAGATGGGGATTGGAGGTGACAGGACTCCCAGCCCAGCAGAAAGCAGGAGGTTCGCCATCTCCATCCCCTGCTGCTTCCCAAGAATGGAGCCAGCAGGGAGAGTGGCAGCGGGCGCACGGCAAGTGTTTGTTTTGTGCCCACCCTGGGAGCCGGGATCTTAAAACCGCAGTCGCCTTTGTGTTAAAAGGGGCTGTTAAGTAAAACGGGAAGATCTGAGGTTGCCATCCGCAGAGCATTTGTAAGAGAAAGGTATTCTGAGGCCAAGGGTGCTCGCATTTGAATTGTCAGCATTTCAGCATCCCCAGCCATTGTGTCGCATGGCGGTGCTGCGATATGTCAATTACTCACTCATTATTGAACAGCAGGATTCTGATTAGCTTATAAAACAAATTTGTGCTTCTCCTACCAGGATCTTGCAAGTGTACCCAGAAAAGCACAGTCTTTATACTTTTATAGGCAAGATGGTTGTGGCTCGGTGCCTCGCATCCACTCTGACTTACAGGGCAGACGCATTCGACCCAGCTAGAGGCCACCAGTCATTTGGTGGAGTTTGTTAATTAAAAAGTATGCTGTGGTTTTAGGAAAAAGTGGTGGTGGTGGTGGGTTTTTTTCCCCTCTTTCTGCCTTCCAGAGCACAGACAGAGGCCCGGGAGCAGCCCCCAGGCTGGTGCTGGGGCAGGGAGGTTCGTGCATGTCCAAGTGCAAGGCACAGCCCTGATGGTCCAACACTGTCCTTCATCCCAAAAGGAACACAGGAGAGGTTCACAGCTTAACCTTTGTATTTGTATTTAAGTTATTTTCTGAACAGTTAAAAAAAAACAAACCACACTGTTACCATGACCCTAGCTCAAGTGAACATTAGTACATTAACTACACATCACCGTAACATAATCACAAAATTCAAAGCACTCGTTACTTAAGAATCCAGATAACAAATATAGCAGAGTAACAAACCAAAAACTCTGGAGAAGCCACGTCCTTCTCCCCCCCCCCAGCCCTCAGTCTGAGCAGGGATGCAGCACAGGACAGTTTTTGGGGTGACCACCTACTACAAAAGGGACCCATCCAGCAGTCAGTTACCACACATTAAGGGCTCGTACATCCATGCACATCAGCATCCCTCTGGTTTTCAGTGTATCAGTTTAACGTCACCGAAGATTAACCAGTGGTGACAACTCCTGTGAGATATCCACGGGACAAGCAGGGAAGCCCAGCGGTCTTTGGGAACAAGCACAAAGTCACGGGGAGAATTTTCTGACAAGACAAAGGATGATTTATTCTGGCTGTGTATCAAGGCTCACCATGGGAGAGGAGCTCTGGGAACGTGCCAGGAGTTAGGCTACAGCTCATTAAAAAAAAAAAAAGGAGTGAGGGGGAAAGGAGGGGAACCAAATCTCAGCCTCAGCAGGCAACCATCCCTCCCAGCCCACTGCTGGGGATGGGCAGAAGGAATGTGCCCGTGGGACCTGCCGCTTCTGTTCTGGTATTAAGTGAGGACAAAGACCGTGGCCCTCACGCCAATCAACCCAGCGGGATGTGCTGGCTGGATGAAGGAGGGATTTCATATGGAGACCTCTCCAGGGACAGCCAGGTCTCCTGCCGTTCCCCTTCCTTCTGGGAAGCTGTTAATGCTCCTTGGGGAACAGCAGCAGGGCAAGGCTCAGCACGTCAGTGCATCATGCATGCCACTGGGAGACCTGGCAAAGTCCTCTTGGTCACTGCAGTTCAGACCTCTCACCCCGTGCCCCAGTGCAGCTTAAACGTGGGCATCGCTGGACCCACCCATTCCTGCAGGCACTGCTTGATGACTTCCTGGCATTTCTGATGTCCTTACAGTAACCCTTCATCCTCGTGAGCCAAGTACACCAGCTAAGAACCCTGTTTTTGCAGCACTGTCCCCGCTCGTGCAGAGCTCCATCTCACCCCCACGCTTCCCTCCTAGCCTTCAGCCACATGGTTCTCTCCTCCTCTCCTCCCCAGGCCTGCAGCAGGAAGGCTGGGGCTCCTCTCCTCTCATCTCTTCCCAAGGAGAGCTGGTAGTGCCGTGCCTCAGCACAAACACCGACTGCATCAGCCACAAGTCAGACCTACAGGTGTGAAAGGAAGGCGCTCTCAGAGACGTGCTGCCCCATCAGAGCCAGGATGCTGAAGGACTGAGAGCCAAGCCTGGAGCCCTGCTCAGACTGAGGAAGGAGTGCGTGACAGGGGCAGGGAACATACCTGGGGCAGGGAACGCGCATGGTAGTCTCCAGTTTTTTCAGTGTCGTTAAAAAAAAGAAAAGAAAAAAAAAAAAGAAAACAAGGATCCTTTAGAGCTGGAGCAGGTGGCAGGTAGGTGGAGCACGGTGGTCCAAGTCAGCTTCCAGCTCAGGAACAAGTGTAAAGCATTTCAACGTTTCTGATGATCAGGCTTCTCGACTTGTCACCTGCATCCTTCCCTTCCGGCAGCAGACGTGTCTGTCCCTGAAGGTTACTGGGGAGGAGACAGCCACACAAGTTCCCTCGCTGCAAACTCCTTTGTGCCATTTTCTATTTGCATATTTTAAAGCAAGCTGAATTCCTCTGAAGATGAGAAATATTTGCAGCACAACGGTGTCCTATTGCCAAAGGAGTCACAAGCAGGAGATGGTGTGGCCAGAGGGACTGTCCTGCTTTGGATGCCCCACACCTGCAGCACTCAGATCCCGCAGCGCAAGGGGAAGGCTCTGCGAGCTCCCTGCTTGTGGGAGAAGTGACCACCTCTATGCAGCAGAGGTATTTCATTTCAAAGCCATGTGCAACACTTAAAGCCCACAGACACCTTCAGCCCCTTTTGTCTCCTTTCTGTAGGCAGGTGCTAGCTCTTTTCATCATAAGCTCTGCAATTACTCCAACCTGGCTGAGGGATTACCCATTCAGTTCATGCTGAAACCTCTCTCACAGGTGCTCTTGCCCTCTCATGCACAAGCACACGTATGCTAAGGGGGGAAGTTTGAAAAAGCCACTCTTCTCTGACTCTGGGAGATGTACTTACCAGACCGCTCCTCCCTGTGTGCAAATGAACACCACCAAGTGCCAGCCTGTGGCAGCTTCAAGTTCAAGTTACATCAGTTCACTTCAGTTTCCATCCTAGCTATCAGAAAACGTGTACAACTCAGGGATGGGTTAAGAATCCTCAGCCTCCTGCAGTTCTGTATGAAGTACCCAGACACAGCCCTTACTTGAAGGGGAGACACCGTTCCTATGTTTGCCAAAAAATGGGAGTTCAGCTGTTGCTCCCAAACTGTACCTTAAAGAGCTTTAGACAGCAGAGTTTGAACTACAGTACCACTTGAAATACCCAGCACTTAGAAGTTACAACACAGCAGCATGGAGCAGCAGGGCTATGACAACCACAGCAGTCTGCAGCAGTGCGCTCCCTGCGCCTGGCCAGCCAGCCTTCTGCTTCTCCCAGATTTCTGCAGACAGTAAAATAAAACACACCTCTGCAGGTGCTACCCACAAAGATGCAACTAAAACATTAGAAGTTCTGCAGCTGTCAGAGGCTGGAGTAACAGATCACTGTTTTCCACAGTAACCTAAATGTGAAAGGCAGAGGACAACCAGACAAGATGAGGAAAGTGACTACCAGATCTGAAGCCAAGCTTTATCCCCTACTGATATGTAACCATGCTGCAGACCTTGTAGTAACTGAACTAAGAGGAACTGTGTGCAAGCAGGATTAAGAATTAGACTCTGAACTTCAACTGAGAGAAGTCTGGGATGTAAACCTGGATGCTCTCTGCTCCCCTTCCAGTTTTGCTCTGGGACTGCAGTGCAGCTGATATGTGTAACTGTCTGAAATCCACAGCAACCTTCTTAGACTCAAAAGTAGCATCAAAATTAGTTGCAAATGAACTTATTATTATGATCCAGAACATTTAGGGCTCTGCAGAGGTAGGTCATACTGGCAGTGCTACCTGAGCAGAGTAGAGCTAACCTGTGAGATCCTTTTTACAGCAACAGTTCCAACAGAGAACAGGAGTGTCATCACACGCTCTGAGCTGCTCTTTTGAACTGAGGCAGTCTCCAGGCTCAATGAAACTACAGGAGCTGGGTGCTCAGCACTGCTGCCCATGCATTTCAGGACCTGCTTTCCATTCCTCCCTACATCCACTGCCATGTTGTCCATCCTGACTGTCACCAGAACAATTTAAGCCCTCTGGACTGCTCTTTGGGGACTCTTGGTCCAGCTCCTTGCAAAACTTCATTGGTAGAAAAAGCACATCCCAAGCAATTAGACACAACACAACTGCTTCCCTAGCAAAGTGAAACTGATGAGAATAGCTGAATAAAATGTCCCATCTGCCAAGTTCCAAGTTTAAAGGGTGTTAGAAAGCCTGTTTAAAACCCTTCCAGCCCAGAAACAAAGGACCCTGTTTCCTACTGCAGGACTGGAGCACCTCCCCACTGAAGCAGTGAGGGTTATTCAAGACGTGGGCATGGCCTGGAATGGCCAGGGACTGATATACACCCTTTCCTGATCCAGTTGCAGGCCTGCTGCAATTCCCTTCAGCTCAGTAAAAAGAGGTATGTCACATCAGATCTCTGTCTAGTTCAGAGACATGCAGAATTGTTTCACACGTCCCTCTCCTCCAGGGCTATTTTTATCTTCTAAACAACAGCAATTTGCAAAAGACTCAGCTAGGGAGCAAAGATCCAGCTCAGCTACCAGCAAAGGGACAAATCATCCCGTGTCCCTGAACCGCAATGCAGCACGCACGCAGGTTAGACAACAAAGGCGATCCTATCCCTCCCACCTCAGGCTTTTTAGCAAGGCCAGCCCCAGAAATGTTGCAGAACTGCTAACCTTACTGCCTGTGCTCACGGCCACCACTGCCCACCTGCCATCACCAGGGGACCGTGCCTTTGATGGAAAGGCAGGGGCATATCCAGCTTGCCTCCTTGCCCCAGCCTCAAACCTCAGCCAGAACAGAGAATGGTTCCTAAGCCACCGGCAACACACTGCCTTCAGGGAGAAAAACGGGGGCCAGATTGTCCTTTGCACAAATGATTCCTTTGTTAGTGAAATACTGCCCTCAGACAACGCTGCACCGGGACAGGGGGAACTGGACATCAGCCCCAGTCCCTCATGCTTGGGACTTTGGCAGAGGAGAGCTTAACTTTTCACTGAATAGCATTCCTCAACCAAGCAGATGTTAAAGGAGACTACAATGCACATCCAGCTTTCAGAGGGTTAGCAGAGCAGGCAGGAGAGAACAGAGATGGATTTGGCTCATCACAGTCAAATTTCAAGGGTCCTCTCTCCAAAAGAATGGTCAGAACAGCCAAAAGCTGCAGTGGTGTGGGGAGTGAGGTCTGGCGTTTCTGTCGCTCTTCAGAGCTGAATGCTTTACAAAGGCCTAGCAATGGAGATGGATTTCAGCGGGAGAGCAGCAGCCTCCTCCCCACCCACCCTCCCACCCTGAGGTGACTCTCCCAGCAGGGTGAACTGTGGCTGTAAGTCTTCTGCTTAACAGCAAAGCAACACGTTCTGGCAACATCTTAAATATATTCACAGGACATCTGTGACGGGGTTTGGAGGGAAACCAAACAGGGTAAAGGGAAGGGGAGTGAATAGGAAAACGGGGATGAGGGAGGAAAGGGATGGATGGAGAGGTTTAAAAATGTTATTAGTTCACGAAAGATAAAAGTCATCTTCTGATTTAGCAGCACTTTAGCAGTCAGCCACGCTGAGTAGACCCTGTCTGAGATCAACCGCATGCCAACTTTGTTCCAGAAACAAGTCTGAGAGCCTTCTCTCTTCGGCAAGTATTGGTTACGTGGATAGTTCTTTTGTCCTGGCATTGGCAGATAATATAAATACTGCAGCTTAAATGAGTCCTGAGAACAAAAAAGAGAAACCAAACAAACCCCATTTGTACTAAGCCTTTCAATGATTGAAAATAACGTCTTACTGATCAGAGTGTTTGAGAAAATCAAGGCAGCTGATGTGACAGCCCTGACACATCACTGCGTATTTACTCATCAAACAAGATATAAGATGTGCTCCAGAACAGAGCATTTTCATGGAAAAATGTCACTGAGAACACTCCCTGCAGAAGCCTGCCAGCTCATCTGCCTTTTTTCTCAAGCTACTAACAGCAGTGGTACCCATCACAGCGGGCAATCATGCCATGCCACTCTGATTACAGACATCAGATCCACTCTGCAACTGACCCAAACTTAAGAAACACAATTTCCTCCCCATACTGTGTTGGCCAAGACAAAGGGATAAGGCAATAAGCAAACCAGCCAGGCTCAGACATGAGCAATTTACACCCATGCTGTAGCAAAAGAAGTGCTGGGCCCAGTTAGTAAATGATTTTGCATATTGATGCACCTCGACTTAATCTGCCCGGTCTTGTGCCTCAGTGCCTCCTCCCTTAGCCAAACAGTTCTCTTGAATCAGCTTGCTGCAGAGTGAGAAGGATGGTCACCACTTCAGCAGGAGGGAATAAAGCTGATGCCTCTTGGCAAAACGCTCCTGCCTGGTGAAACTGCCCAGGGTCAGGCCATCTGCACCTCTTGTTAGGCAGCAGCTGCTCTACTCGCTCTGCAGAAACCCTTCTTCCTTCTAGACAGCAGTAATAGCTGATTTAATTATTGATGATGATGGACAGTGGAGGAGTTCTTCAGGGGAGCTCACGGACACCGCATGTCACAAATACTTGGATAAAGGCCTTCTTGTAAGGCAACAGAAACCACTTCTTTCCTTTTACAGGACACTGCAGTTACTGTCCAATCAAAATGAGAAATACTGATACACCCAGCTACGTATTCAAGCTGCGTGCTCACATTACATCCAGTGTCACCTCTGAGATAATTTTTACCTGTGCGAGTGTGAGGTACAGTGTACTGTTATTTATCTTGAGATGTAGGTGTATGTTCTGGATGGGGAACGAGTGGATTCTGCTTGGGCAGCTGGGTCATTCAGAAAATCCCAGATGAGGATGGTGTCATCGTGTGAGCTGCTGACGATCTGGAACTCGTCAAACTGAAGTCGAAAAACTCTTCCAGAATGCTCCTAAATGGAAGACACGGCATGTGAATTCACAAATTCTAGCATTATATTAATTTCTCAGTCAGTAAACCTCATATGACACATCGTCCAGCCCCAGAACTAAACCACCCTTGGTGAAACAAGCTTGCTGTATCTGCATTCTTGGCTCGCCAGGAATTTTACATTACATTTATCGCATTACTCCTTCTGTCCCCATGAATGCACTGTGAACAAACCGAGCTCCCTCCACCATACAAGGCAGCCTTGTGAGGCTGATGGGAGCAATGCCTTCCTTGTTCTTTGGCTCCTTCCTGAAATCACGGTGTTCCCAGATGCAGTAGGTTACAGGGGGATTAGGATTTTGCAGTCAAGGCTTGGCACCACTGCCACTGCTCAAGAGGGGAGAGCTTAATACTGGAGGACACTAAGGAGCCTGTTGTAAAGTCCAGTGACACAGTAATAATTCCTCTTAAGTAGTTCTAAAAATATGATCTAGAAAGAGGATTCTTTATAGCCTGCATTTTGCTCAGAGGCTGAGTGGAAATGGCATGATGATTTGGCAACAGTTCAGACTATAATTAACAGAAGGTAGCAGAAAGATCCTGGATATCAAAAAGCAAATCCACTAGGCTTTCCCTTTTGTGCTAGGCACTTTTTCCTGGTGCTTACTGCCACAGGAGTGAGCAGCATCCTCCTCAGGAAAAAGAGGACACCGTGCAGGCGGGACAAGCCCTCTCTCTCTAATACATTTCTCTGTGGTTCCCTGTGGCCTAAGGTCAGGAAAAAATGCTTAGAAGCATTTTACAGCTTTTTCAAATATTTGCACAAAAGAGAATTGTTAGCTACTAAAAAGGAAGCCTGTGTCTTATGGCACAGAACTCTGAAAATACAGCTTGGTTTGAAAGCATGGAGAGAACAGAACAGCTGCCTTAAAGGGAGCCTCTAAAGCTCCAAATTAAATATACACACTCCAAAATCAGATTCTGTTTTTATGACAATTTTGTTATAGAAGCCCAACCATTGGGACCTTCATGATCTTCTGACCCAATAAGTGTACCTGATAAGCACTTCATGGGCTTCTACTCAGTTCCAAAAAGAAAAGTATTTCCAGATCCTGTTTTGCATCAGTGAAGTAAAGCAGCAGTTGCTAAAAAAGTACCACAACAATAACCAGATCCACCGAGGGACCCTTAACAAAGGCACCAAGAGAGAGGTATTTCTACAAACTATTCTGAAAAGTCCTTTTCCTCCCAGCCCCTGTAGGCTAAGACTGCCCTAGAAGTTCCACGCAGCCCTCCCCAGCACGGTTGCAGTGACAATAAGCAGGCTGCACGCCCTGAGCTCAGGCTGCAGGGAGCTGGGCCCTTCAGCTCAGAAGGAGAGTTGTGCTGTTTGCTTATTCTGCGCCTGGAAAGCTTCTGTGACACTTGTGTGGCCGCTGCTCCAGCTCACGGGAGGGACCTGGCATGCAGTGAGCATTTGTTATCTGTGCACTTTCCTCCTACTGTTTGAAAATTGAACATGAGCAGCAGGAGACTCACGATGTTCATTGTGCAGCCAGGTTTAATTTTGGAGGCCAAGAGAAGAGAGGGGAAAAAAAAAACAGCTATGGGTAAGCGTGTATAAGGACACCCTGTTGCCATAAACATGAAAAGCCCTAAAAGCACTATGACAGCCTCCTCTGCCCCTCCTCTTCTGGCTTCCTCCATTGCTATCAGAAAGGGATTTATGAGTATCCACGTGTTGAGATTCCTACAGTGTTTCCATCCCACCGCTTCTGATTTATAATACAATTAGCTGGGGCACTCTGGCTGTCCACTGCTGGAAAATGCAGAGGAAATCGCACCAGTGAAATTAAGTCTACAGGTTACTAGGCACACATTTGTCTCGGGCTGGAGCAGAAACACCACTAATGTCACGCTGAAGTCTTGGACTCCTGGGATACGTGTTCATGGGCACAGAGTTATTCCACAGTTTGCAGCTGGGTGGCTGACGACAAAAGGGTTTTCTGGACTTCAGCCACAAAACTATTTGTAGTTTTCTTCGGCTACCAAGGAGGTTTTTCAGCACAGTACCTGCAGGCATCCAAGGCTCTCACCGACTCTTACTTTGCAGCTTATGGTCCAAATACAGGATTGGAAAAGAGCTAGTGTGACTTAACGACCTACTGCCTGTCAACCCTCAAAGCCTGTGCAAAATGTGAAGCAAAATACTTTAGTGAAATCTACAGCAACTGTAGCAGTTTGGGTGGTAGATGAGGGTGTGGGACAGCTAGAGCAGCAGCAGGTCTGATGTCCACCAAACTCCGACATCATCCAAAAATTTATTTGCTAAAAGAAAACAATAATTCATTACTTCTTTTTCAACATGGATTCAGCACTGGACCAAAATCTTTCTGTAACCCCGGCGTAAGTCTGTCAGAGCAGAAACAGCAAACATGTCAGAGGAATGCTGAAGGAATAGGAATAGGAATAGGAATAGGAATAGGAATAGGAATAGGAA